TGCAAACATTACAAATATAAATTCTTAATAAGAGGAAGAACGAAGTGAAGCATTTAACTAAATCGTTTAATAAATCACCAGGAAGGGCTTCGTTTCAGCGCAATACCTTCCAGTGAAAAATGGATTCGATCCTCGCTTGCCTGACTTCAAGTGCTTTCGACCTCAACCATTGCAACCAGCTCGATGGATTGACGTCTGCAACAAAAGTGACAAAGAATGCTTAAGATTTCAAACACAGCGAGAATAAGTACAAGATTACTGAAAGATAGATGCTTGGTATTCCAAAATGTGCTGTGCACGTTTTTGCTTATTTTTCGGAAATAAAAGATTYTATTTTCTGTAAACATTGTATCATGATATTAAAAGAATGAAAGATCGACGGGACCTTTTGATCTCCCGTTCGTCTAGAGAACGAGGACCTCTTTCCACGTCCACAGGGATCCCAAGAGTGCCACTACGCAGCAGGCTATTTCTATTGAGGCTGTTGTTTTTTGAAAGTCACATTGTAGACATGCAGTGTTTCATAAACTGTTTCCTCAGAAACCGCGGTTGAATACTGTATTCCAAGTCCTCAATGTGTTGTGGGTTGTTCTATATCCCCGTTGATAAAGACATTTTTTGAGAAAGATTATACCAGTTTCGTAGAATTAAGAACTTCATATGGAAAGCAATTAAGTTTAGAATTGTCATAGTTTTTAATGTTCTAACTTGTGGTTGCAATAATGCATTGCGGTCTTGGAATGCACTATTCAGAATAGTAAATCCCGAACTATTTGGGACGGAGCTAATCATTTATGAGTTTTTGACACGTCACAAATAAAACAATTGATTTCCACCGCTTATGATTGGACTATAAAGTCACGTGACGGAAGGGGTTTTCCCTTCGAGTGGTCTTCGAAAATGGCGGACTCAAGAACTTCAAAGATACCAACAATTTAGTGGGTAGTTTAGGTAATGTATGGGAGAGGTAGCAGGGATAGATTACCACGTTTACACAGTGAATATCGAATATCATGCATGAAAGAATAGTGTCGACACGAAAATCGATTGAAAATGAATTAAAAAATTAAATGCAAATTTAAAGCATTACAGTACTACGCAGAATTCGTGAAAATGTTTTTATTACTATAATCACATTGAAGTTTGTTAAAAATATATACTCTCTTTTTCTGAAAAAAAAAATCTGAAATGATTATCACCCATGTAACTCGATGGATGTACACTAACTATGAACCATTTATTTACTTGTATGNCTTCCCTATAATATAAATAGATTGCACTTATTGCTAATACACAATAAATAGTATAAATAATTTAAATAGCATTAACCCAATTAATTAGCATTTTTCAATTTMCTAATAATGTCTTGTGGTGACTGAATGTTAACATGTGTATGTTATGCAGATCAGTTGGTCTACCACCCACTGTAGGACGCCATTGACTTTGTAAAATCCTGTGCGTTTCTTGCAAATTTTGGAGCCACAATCTTGTGACCGTCGGCTTCGCTTGTTTCCTAAAACACAATCCCATATCAGTATCTATTCATTGATAAGCAGTTAGAAAGATTTTCTAGATGTCACGGTCCTTTTTTCAAAAAGGAAGCACACACATCCTGGTACACGGAACACGATCTTCAACATTTTTGCTTCGGCTGCACGCAGGCTAGGAAAATAACTTACCGATGTTTAGTGACTGTGTAGTGGTCTCTGCAATTTTGCTGACCCAATAAATCGAACTACGAGAGCACAGATTGGCCATCCTCTTACTGAGTACAGATCGAAGATCAAATGCTTTTTGAATGGTCCAGATGGTGGTAGTTTTTGATGATGAAGATCTAGCTGTTTTTAATTTCTGCATGATAAAAGTCGAAAAGGATCATTAAGAATTTAAAATACGATCACGAAGTTAATCAATCTGGAGGTTTTTCCTTGCTTTTTCTTCGAGTTTTAACGTAAACGGGTGTTATTCATGAATTGTTGAGTACGCTATAAATCTGATATTTTACTTACCAGTGTTGGTGTTCGTTTTTCCAGTCGAGATAAATAGCAAGTGTTTTCTGCTCCGATGTGAATAACAGACAGCTTCTAAACAGTTAACAAAAAACAGTATTTTGAGTGTTTAGCTTTAATAAAATATGATAAAAATTGAAAACTAATAAAAATTATTGCTTATTCAAGATAAACGAACCTTTTTAAAGTCATTCATTGTGACAGCGTTGTTTTCACTTCCTTCGACCACATATCCATTTTTGACTATAGAACCACTTGGTATCTTCAGCTGTTGCAATTTGAAGGAATGATTAATATTTGATAATGATACCGACTTACTTTCCTTCTCCCTCAAACTCTCTCTCTCTCTAGGCTCTTTCTTTTTACCCGCCCATCTTACTGGTACAACATAGAGACCAAGCAATATTGAAAAATAGATTTACAACTTCCATGTTCATGTCAAACTTATTGAATTCTGTAAAAAAAAATAGGAATTGTAAAAATACCTTAGGATTTTGTCGGATTTTGATGGGAGATGAGCTTGAAGAACAAAAAAGAAAAGCAAAAAGCAGAATGACAACTGTAGTCTTGATAACAACCTAACGAGAAAAAAATAATGTTAACAAGTATTCAACCAAACTAAAAGATATAGTAGTTATATGATGTATATCTTCAATAAAAAGAGCTAGATATACCAACTCACCATGGCATGGATTTTCTTGATATGTATTGTTTCCTTTGTATCGGTCCTGTTTCGAGTTAGTAGATAGCTACTATGTATTCTTTTGCTTGATAGAGTGAGCTAAAAACCGCTTGTTATATATAGTAAGGTATTGGGATATTTTAGGATTACCGTGACGTCAAATCAATCGGATTTGGGCTATTTTAGGACTTTCGTGACGTCAATTGAATCAGGTATCAACAGGCTTTCTTCTCTGTTCACCTTGAGGGGATTCCCTCAATGTACGCCTTACATATCTTAACATAAATGGTTTCTATAGTTCGACAATGTAAGACTGCGGAAGTGGCCTTGAAAAGGATGTGAAACCTAAAAGCTTTCTTTTAGAACCGAACGCTGTCTCGTCTATGGCTACCTAAAAGATCTTCTTGTTTCAAATCGAGTTAAGTAACTAGCATATGTTGAAAAACGTTTAACGTTTAATGATACTTATATTTATAATAGAACTGAATCTAAGCTTTTGGCTTCAAAATTTCTGTAAGCTCAATGCAGCGACTGTAATTACTCAACACCGAAACAGGAATTAACCCTTATCTTACAGATTGCCCGAATACAAAGTCGATTAAGTATAGCACTACGAGTATAGTAAAGGCAGGGCCATAGCAACAGATGACATGGTTTTAATCGACTTTCGAAACCAGCAGATCAAGAAAACTAACCTCAAGAAACATCCTCGCCTCTTATATACAATCAATTAGTGATATCTCTGAAGAGATGAATTCGTCAAAAAGAACATTCCAAAACTTGTGGCTGCTGTCCTACAAAAACTGTGGTTTAATGCGAACTTTATTTGATTTGTAATAGGGTTCCGTTTTGTAGCATATGTAGTACGATTTTACGTTTTTGATGTTTATTTTGCTAAGAGAGTGCCAAAATTCAATTAACAACTCAGTTCTTTCGTAACAACGAGCGATGTGATCATCAGCTAGGAATACGCCACCGCGCTTAAGAATATTTGTAGCTCCGTGAGTTGTAGAATTTTAAATAAGTCTCATATAATTTGATACTCATTCAGTTTTTATTTCATATTGGAATTATGCAATGACCGATTGAATTAGTACTCTTAAACTATTGAATACTACTGCAATCATTATACAGAAAATCTCTTGTTTGTCAACAAAATAAACAACATGCATCATGCACTATACAATAATCGTTTAACTGTTTCCTTTAAAATGCATTTTGATCATATTGTATTGAGAATACATTAAGTTATCCCCTCCAGTTCCAGTCCACTCCCGGCCGATCTCCTGTCGTACATGTAATCAAATCGTCGGTTTTGTTCCCCAATGAACAGCAGGGACATTTGACGCGCGGTATACCAGGCGGGAAACTTTGAAAATGTAAGTCAAACGTGACGACGGCTTTGTTGTCCTCTATTTTGCATTAAACTCATCACTAGTAGATGAGCTTGGCGTTGGTGCTTAGGTGGGAGGGTCAGCTAGTGTCGATCAGCAGTTACCATGGCAACCATGTTAGCAGTAACCATGACAACCTGGTTAGTAGTTACCATGGCAACCCTGTCCTAACCCATGCCACACAGCACCGTCACACTGACAAGTCAGTGGAGAACTTACCTATATACTTACCCAAGAGGAGAGAGGGTGGGAAAACCAAATAACAAGCGTATTAGTAGCGTTTGCATCACAGTTTGCATGTTAGCTTATCGGCCATGTGCTAGCATTCCTTAGCGAGKAATGAATGGTGACCGCAAGATGCCGTGAACTCCTCATCAAAGGATGACGTGACCGGTTGTGTTACACGAGAGATTCACTTAGATTATAGGCGCGTCATGGCTACAGGTATTCGATGCCTACTAGTMCAATTTTAACTTTGCTGAAATATTCTGTTTAACCACATTTTATTTGCGTGTGTTTTACTCTTACATGAATAATGAAAGAAGATGTTTTGTATGTAGATAAAACTGTGCAAAAATAGTCCAATTAAAAGTAAGTTTAATTTTAGTCTTTACAAATATTAACATGTTTATCCAGTTTCATAAGTCCTTGTGACAAAATACACCGGCTATGGATGGCTTTTTTGATCTCACTCCTGAGAAATTTGACTCTTCATGGTATGCCTCTTTTATAAAATGTTCAGCCGTTCGTGTCCTGTGTCCAAACAAGCACGTTGTGAACGCATTCCAACCTCCAGTGTTTCATTATTCATGATAGCATTTTCTCAAATATCTTTTGAATTTGAACAAAAAGTGAGGAATTTTCAAGAGTCTTTTTGCATTCCCGCCTTTTTATGAAAAACATCAACGGTCATACGTTGCCTGCGATATACGTGCGGTCAGCGTCAGCAAATGTCCCTGCTGTTTGTAGTTTATTCATTCCATCCAACTTCGCCTTTATGAATAACCTTAATATCCGGTTCTCTTCATGTTTGTCCAGGTTCACTATGTTGTAGAATCGACCGTATACTTTACGTATAACAGGCCCGTCAATATCTGAGCCCACTCTCACCAAAGATTCCATGATTTTACTGTATATTAACTCCCAGTGCCTTCTGGGATTGCACACAGAACCTCGAACAATCATTTTAAGTTCAAATGTTTGTTTTACTACCGTATAACATTAGGTGAACGCCGCGTTTTTTAAGGAACTTTCTAATTCTGCTATCCTGAAAGGCATATATATCACAACAATAACTCAATTCTACAACGAAAATGAAAAGTTTTGATCATTTTCTTTGTATTTTACGTAGAAAATCGCCAATGTCTGAAGAAAACCATTCATTGAAATATTTTAATAGCGCAACTTGGCAAGTGTAGCTGTTTTGTCTACTTATCGATAGAATTAGAACTTCGTAGATGGGTCAACGACCCGGCCCCCCCTGGGACAACGAAAATAATCATACCATGAAACATGCAGCAATGAATTTTAGTAAATGTATTTGGCAAAGATCGAACTGAGTGGGGGTTAGGTACCTGATTTAGGATATGCAACTACGAAATCGTCCTCCGTTTTGACGTGAAGAGTTTTAATTTAATCGAGGAACGCTTCATTGAATCCTGGTAAATGGATCACTCCATTGCTCTCAAATGATTGAGGATAAAAATACGGTTCCTAGATGACAGGAGTGTTATTGTACGCCACTGGTTTCTGTAGTAAATAAACTGGCTATTCCTTGAAATCAACCGAAGGAGTTATAAAAAACACTTCACAGAACTTCGGAGTTTGTTTTGTTAACTTTAAGTAAAGAAAAGGTCGGAGTGGATTGGACACGGAGGAGACTTAATTCAGTCAACATAGGAAACCCGACATTTAAAACTCCGATATTGTTTATTATTAGATGTACCAAAGATAGAAAAAGAAAACAAAAAGGAAGAAAAAAGCAAAGAAAAGAAAAAGATAAATGAGAGAAAATGGCAAAAAGAAAAAGAAAAAACGACGTAATAACACATCAGAAAAAAGAAACAAACAAACGAACGGAAGAAAAGAAAGAACAAAATCACAGGTTTCAGGTAGAAAATGGTATTTTGTAACTAAACCTTTTTTTATTTACTTTAATTTACTTTTGAGCATAAACAATTTGGTCAAAGAACGTTTTTTCGATTTTTTTCGAAATTCCACTATTGAAACCCTGTAATTATGATTATTTATACTGTGCATGAATGTGAAGTCCTTAAGGTCTCAGAAAAAGACATTTCTAGGATCGCCATTATTATATTAGAGACAAGAAATATTCCTGACTGTTTGAAGGGAGCCAGATAAAGTAGAATAATAGAATAAAGTCAAAAAAACTTGTGAATACAACCTTAGTCACCCTTACGCTTTTTAAAATTTCATTGTTTCCTTTTGCAGCTGTTTGACTATCACACTGGTCAAATTGTGGTTCACTTGTTTCATGACTTTACTCTGGGAAGTCTCAGTTTCCTCCTTTTTGTTAATTCATACACATTGGTCAAGGGTTATCCTGGCTTTAATTTCCAATTGAACGTACTACGCAATCGATGGATTGATATTCCGTGATTAAAATTCAATTTAGGCCCTTAGCCCGAGTAAATAATCTATGCGAGCGGCAAGCTTAATTCAGTTTTCACTGCCGGCATTGATCTTTTGCGTTCTTTTACGTTTTTTGTTTTGTTTTTATATAAGCCGCACATTGTACCTGTGACGCTTCTTAAAATGTTCAAATATATTGGGTCGATGTGATAACTAGTATTGCCTCATGAAGGTCACAAAATCTACATAACAGATTGACCAATATTATTGTATTATTTGATTTGATATTTTAATATATGTGAATATTCTAAAATGAATATCAGTTATTTCATACTTTATTTAAGAGGTAGTTTGATCACTGTTTGTCACAGCAGAATTATAATTAAAACGATTAATGTTGAAATCAATACAAGATTAAACATGTTTTAACGAGCCACTTTACATTAAGTAATATAAGATAAGTACCTGACTGAATACTACGATCACGACTTCAAAACGTAAGTGTTTATCTTATGTAAATCTTGAAGTGAACATTCAGTGAAATTTCTGAATAATTTCTTCTAGCGAAACCATAACAACCATGTTTCCTCCTCAAATAGTATCTTTACAAGAAATTATGATATTCGTAAATAACTAAAATATAAACATAAACTCAGCCGCTGCAGAATTGAAACAAAATTTTATATTTAAACATTTTTATTTATTTAATAAAGACGGACAAATAAATCAAATACTAACTAAATGTAATTAGATACAATTCTTACGAATATGAATATTTTTTTTTAGAAGTTGTTGCAATTTAAAAATAGCAATGATAAATGCAAATATCTTACAAACAGCACGCGAGGTCTATTTCGTTTAAAGGAACAATAAAGAGGGAAAAATTTTTAATAAAAGTTAAGGTTTTATTAAGAAGAGAGCGACTTTTTTACATTTTTTGGATTACTACTTTCAAAACGCATTAAAAAGAAAATTCGTGCACTGATTTGAAAATCCGTGTAACTTCCTGTCTCTTTCAATGCGACACGGCAGCGTCACGAGCTATTGTTCATTCACAATAAAGAGGAAAAAGTACAGTTTTTGACGTAGATACAGCAACTGTGTTATTATAACCAGGACATTGAACGCGTAGGATCATCATCCATCAAGCATAACATTAGGTAAGTATTTCACAAAATCAAATTGGACATTAATTGTTAATAAACAAATCGGATAAATAATTACAAAATAAAGTTGAGACCTTTAAGCTTGTTTATATAACTATTACATAGTACTTTGAACTGTAAAAATTCACAGTAAAATATGTTAACTTGTCTTTGACAGGAACTTATAAAGTCGCTATGTCGATGTATGTTTGGATTTCCTCTATGTGTTTAATGATAACTTTATCAGAGTCAGCCGTGTACCAGACGCCTACATATATTGCCAAAAGAAAGGTTAGCCAGTCAATTCTGCAATAGCGCTTATGTGGGTGTATTGTCTTGTTTCCACTGCTCAGTATGCGGAAATACCACTGTAAAGTTTCTTTAACTTACACGTGTCGACTTAAAAATTGAGCGACATTTTAAAAGCGTTAGCATTCTATCTCCAGGAACAAGGAACAGGCATTTTCAATGTTTTTTCTTCAGACTGAGCCCGCAATTTCTCCGCGGCCATTACGCTTAAGACTAGAATGGACATTAATTGTGGAACCTGCAAATTATTCTTCACACCGAGTACGAACGTTTTCGTCTTCGAGAACGGTCTTCAGAGTGAAATTGTTTACAATTTACTGCAAACAAACGAATTCTGAAATCATTCTTCTTCCCTCGTTCTTTGTGGTGTATATGGGCGTTTTGGTGGTAATACTTACCAAAAACTCGATTTTTCTGTAGATGTATTATTCATAAGAAATTTGGACTTCATCTTGTAAATGTATGAAATGACGTGGAAAAAATTGACACGATAAAAAATTAACTCCCTAGCTTTTATAATTTTACATATAATTAATTGGGCAAAACGCCATTTCCTGGACAAAGCATGATGGGATAAATAGTTCTTGCGCTTATTTATGTTCATGAGATAATCCCCAGAATTAGACTTTGTTTTTCCGTTTGAAAAATGGCAGCACAAAAAATTCCAAGACTTTATTCGGAAGAGAGTTTGTTTGAAGCAGCATGATTATTTAACGGAAAATGAGTAGCTCGATCCTTTGCGAAAGTGAGACATTTTTCCCTCGTCACACTAATTCTGATATTTAATTAAAAACCGCTATAATCTATTTTGAGTATAAGAAGATATTTTTCGTGTTTTTAACAGAAAATTGAAACACGGAAATATCTTCTATTAATGCTTATATGATGGAGTTTGTTTGTCAGACAGACTCTTGTCGGTTGAAGAGCTGTTTAAAAACGTAGTATACCCGACTGATAAATTGCAGTATTCAAACTGTTATCATCACTGATCTTATATATACAACCATTATATTGATTAGGGCATTTCAAGGTACGAATTACTCATTGGTAATGAAGCAAATCAGGCGGTCAAAGAAAAGGTCATTATTGACACGAAAAAGCAAACAGAAACGTTCATTGTACCCAAGTATGGCAGGAGCAACGCTGCTGTGGTTTTGGATGACTTTAAAAAGGTAATTGCAAAATCGGCAATATACATCTACTCACAGGAAAGTTATCATCCAAAAATACAACAATTGTTATTTAAATGGCAAGTAAAATAATATAACTTGACGGTCATAATCTTTGTTTTTGAATATTGCAAGCATGCAATTTTCGAAAATCGAAACGAATGACCCCGTTTCAAATCTTGAAAGTGATTATTCAACTAATTCAAAATCTTCAATGGAGAAGCTGACTTGCGGATCGAGCATGCGTGTGAATTTTGTTGCACCCGAGCGCAAGGGAAGAAGAAAAGTTTTTTTGTTTAATCTCTTAATGTAGTGTTGTGTGTATCCTTTCGTTTAGAAATTGAAGCTAATCTACAACAAAGACAAAAACGTGTGCTACTTATTGACAGGACATATGAATAACGAGGAACCACCGCGGGTTTTGAAGGCTATCATTGACAGGGTATGATATTAGCCATGAATTCGTTGGTGTTTATCATTGTTGCTGTTGTTGTTAGTTTAGGAATCAAAAACGAACGCGCTTGTCTCTAGGCTCGCAATGAATTTCCGAAAAGCAAATAAAAAAAAAGAAATTCACTTTTCTAATTAAACTAAGCTTTGCATGCAACCATCGAAAGAAATACAGTTATAAAAGTTAACAAATAATAAAAGCTCTTGTTTTTTGTCATTATTTTTTTTTTTAAGGAATTGAATATGAAAACAGTCTTGAGATCCTTCCGCAAAGTAGAAGAAATGCAAACATCGACGTGGAAAATCGGAAAACCATTGAAGAACGCACATAGGACTCTGTTCAATAGAGCAATGAACAAACTATGCGGTAAAAAACAAGTCTTTTGGTTAAGAAAGGCCAAAGGAAACAAGAAACAAGCACGCAACCAAGGTATAAATGAATTACTATTTAAACTTTTTGATTGGCTGGTTGGTTGGTTGGTTGGTTGGTTGGTTGGTTGGTTGGTTGGTTGGTTGCTTGTTTTTTTGGTTGCCGGCTTGGTTGCTTGGTTGCTTGGTTTGTTCAATGATGGATTAATTGATTGTGTATTGTCATAGCAAACCACAAACGAGATGGGTCGCAGTACGCGTGCTACTCTCAAATCTGTACAACGTTTTATTACACGAAGTATGTATTTGAACCATCATTCCACACTGTGAGAGTTCAAAAAACAAGATGCGTGCTGGTCATATGTTAAATTGCTACAGGTAAGCATGAGGTTACAAATAAAAAACAGTCATAACCTACTGGTTATTATGGCTCCTGACATGCCTGTGAGCAACCTCGTTCCCAGGCCCTTTATCCTTTCGCGGGTAAAGACCGCCTGACCCCAAGCGAATGGATAAAGGGCTTTGGAACGAGGTTGGCCTGTGAGCAGCCATGATGCGACCTTAAGTAGTGTTTCTTTATCTAGACCATACTGATTTAACTATTAAATAGCGTTGAGGGTCGTTCTCTCCACCAACATAATTCCCTCCCCCCTAGTAACATAAGTATCAAGGAGGTTACTTTTGCTGATTCTCTGGCGTGAAAACCCAGGGAAGAGGAGACGTGATTGTCAAGGGTTAAAAGCATGCTACATTGGTTAGAGATAGGCTTAGGCTCGATTAATTTCCAGAACGGACGATCACGTAGGCTTATGCCGAACCAATCTATATATCTACTCATCGCACTGACAATGAAATATGAAAGTTGCAACTTTATTTGTTTTTCTTTTCAGGAGGAAGACTATATCTAAAGTTCTGGCGTTACCTTTGATAAGGAGACAAAAGCATTTACTAATGCGCATGTGCACTCTGAACTTGGAAATTCAATTTCGCTGTGTTCCATGATTTCTCGAGAATCCGATTCTCTTGAAACGATCATTACTCATACATCTTATTTACAAGTAGAGAAATGTTGTACTGTGTACACAAATGACAACAATATCGTTTTTAAAGGAAATGCGGTTCATAATTTGAGATGAATTTATGTAAATGTGTAGTGATTTTTAGTGCTAATAAACAATACATTAAGCAATGTAAAAAGTGTCATCTCTGAAAGCTGACAGTTTTGTAATGTTCAGACTCGAATATGCAGATTTCATCTTGTAGCGTTGAAATGATATCTCGAGAGTGAGCTGCGAGAGAGCGAGGTTTTTATCACGACGAAATCTGTTTCTCTAAGCGAACATGCAACGAT